GCATTCCTTTTACTTACAAGAGTGGCTGCCAGGCTCTGTGCCTCCAGGTGTAGTGGCCTTGAGTAAGGCTGGTCTTGCAACCGCTCAAAATGTTCATACCTTGAGCTTCAAAAGAGAGCTCTGAGTTGTAGCCTTGTTATCATTGGAACTTAAAGTCAAATCAAGCCCAGTAACAGTTTTCCATCTACCAGTGCAGGCTAAAAAATGGCTAAACAATCAGAGCTCTTAGAGATCAGATAAAACAAACAAACGTCTTTCCCAGGCATTCAACAACAGTGGTCAGAGATTCTAGATCATAATGAAAAACAGTAGAAAATCTGGACATGATGGTACTTGTACCAGAGTGAGAGATCATCTTGTGAATTGAGGGGTGAGTATCCAAGAGAGTTGGGATTCATTCATTAAAATCTGCCATCTTACAAAGCAGACGATAATTTTGACACTGTTTAAATCAACACTTGTGAAGAGTCTGTGTGGGTTCTCAGTCATCTGGGTCATTTTTAAAATTGGTGAATCATGTTGATTCACCACCTTCATGGTGCAGCCCTGAAAAGCCTCTCCCAGGTGGATCAAATTGCCTCAGTGAAACAACATGTTGGGAAGCTCAAATCAAATAAATAGTGTTACACAGTGATACACCACCACATGGTGGAAGGGAGAAGTGAAGAAAAGCCATGGTATCATTTCAAGAGATGAGTGTTTTATTAATCTATGTCTGTGTTTTCACAGTTAGATTTCCCTCTCTGTATTCATTCACCTGTCAGTTACAAGGACAGTTTAACCTGAATGGGATTCACCAGACAGGAGATGTAATTCTAGGAGGATTGTTTTCAGTCAATGTTTTTTCTACTGTTCCTGACCTGTCTTTTACCTCAGAGCCACAGGAGTCTGTCTGCTATGGGTGAGTGTGTGGCTGAAAAACTACAATAATTTCATCTTGTTTATTTAGACATTTCTTTACATTTTGCTTTTAAATATTATATATATGTGTAAATGTTTTGTTTTCATATATATATATATATAATTTCAAATGTCTATATATATATATATATATATATACACACATATATGAACATATATACATCTTATTATCATTATCATTTTAATTTGTATTATTGTGTTAGTTTTTATCCCTCAGGATTCAGACAGGCTCAGACCATGGCCTTTGCTATTGATGAGATTAACAGAAACCCCAACCTGCTCTCTAATGTTACTCTGGGATACAGTCTGTATGATAACTGCAATGAATTGGCAAAAGGATTTCGTGCAGCAATGTCCTTAATCAGTGGTCAAGCAGGAGAGATGATATCAGAGGAGACCTGTGTAGGTCTTCCAGTCCTAGGGATTGTGGGAGATACCTTCTCTACATCTTCTATTGCCATCTCCACAGTTGTAGGTTTGTACAGAGTGCCTCTGGTAAGTGTAACAGTCATTCAACTTTAAATGCATTGTAGAGAATAATTATTTTCATATAAAACATGTTCTGTATCTGTTTTTCCTCAGGTCAGTTATTTTGCCACATGTTCTTGTCTGAGTGACCGAGAACAGTTTCCATCATTTTTTAGGACGATTCCCAGTGATTCATTTCAGGTAAATATATGATTTTAAGTGAATAACTATTACAGCTTGTGAACTGACTCCTTTTCTCTGTGTCCACGTAGGTCCGTGCAATGATTCAGATTCTAAAACACTTTGGTTGGACTTGGGCAGGTCTGCTCATCAGTGATGATGACTATGGAGTCCATGCTGCTCGAGCCTTTCTCTCTGACTTGGGTCCAATTGCAGGAGGTTGTCTGGCTTACATTGAAGTTTTGCCTTGGGGAGACAACCGAGCTGAACTGAAGAGAATAGTTAATGTGATGAGGAAATCTACTGCTCGTGTTGTCATTGTTTTTGCTCTTGAAAGTCACATGCTCAAACTAATGGCAGAGGTGGGTTCTAAAACTTTACAACAATGAGTACTTTATAAAAACAGAACTGATGTGGTCTAAAATTCAGTGTAAAATCTTAGGAGAACAGTTGGTAGTAAAACAAATTGAAAGCTATGACACATAAATTACAATCTACAGGTTTTCACACATACACAAAAATGAAGTACTATTTAACTGTGGTGCATAAGTGTCCCAGAACAATTTAAATATTTGTAATATTGAAATCAAAAGGTTGTTAGGCAGAACTTGACAGGCCTTCAGTGGATGGCCAGTGAAGCCTGGACTTCAGTTGCTGAGCTACAGACTTCAGACTTCATGCCATACCTCGGGGGAACTCTGGGCATCGCTATCCCTCGAGGAGAAATCTCAGGCCTGAGAAATTTTCTATTGAAAATACGTCCTGTCTCAAAACAGAACACTTCTGAATATAACATGGTGAGGAATTTAACAGTAACAGTCATTATTTGTACAGTGTATATAATGTTATGAAATAACATCCTTATTGTATTCCAGGTGTATCAGTTCTGGGAACACATCTTTAAGTGTAGATTTGCTCCACCTCCAGCAGGTTGGCTTGAAACTGGAGGACAATTGTGCACTGGACAGGAAGTTATTGAGACTGTTTTGGGGGAAGAAGTTTTTGATGTTTCAGACCTCAGACCAGAGTATAATGTGTATAAGGCTGTGTATGCTCTGGCACATGCTCTTGATGACATGCTGCAGTGTGAGCCAGGGAGAGGACCTTTCAGTGGAGACACCTGTGCTCAATTACAAGGACTGGAACCATGGCAGGTGTGTTGGCAGTTTCTTCATTAACATTTTAATTTTTTCTCCCTTTAATGCTTTGAAGCTGTGAGAAAGAGCAGAAATAATGTTCTGCATGTACACAGTTAAAGCAACAGCAGTGAGCAGTCAACATTGTTATGTTGGAAAGATATTTTAAAAAGCCTTATTTGTCGATAAATCTGCTCGTAACAAATTAATCCTTAGTTTGCAGATTATTAACTCTTAACATAATTAGTTAGAAATATATTACCTCCTAATTCTGGTAAGTTGTTTTCTTAATTTTACACATTTCACCTTATATTAACATTTTCTGTTGTGTCTTTTTATAGCTTGTGTATTACTTGGAAAACGTGAACTTCACCACATCATTTGGTGATCAAGTGTCATTTGATGAGAACGGTGATGCTTTACCCATCTATGATATTGTGAACTGGGTGTGGCTTCCTGATGGAAGCACTAAAGTTCACAATATTGGTGAGGTTAAGAGGTCAGCTAAAAATGGTGAAGAGCTCACTATTGATAAAAACAAAATATTCTGGAACTTTATATTCAAACAGGTGAGAATTTATATTTTGGACAGCTCTCTCCTAACATGTGCATTGCATATAAGAAACAAAACATACATTTATCATCCCACAGCCCCCCAGGTCAGTGTGCAGTGAGAGTTGCCCTCTAGGAACTCGTATGGCCCACAAGAAAGGGGAACCTGAGTGTTGTTTTGACTGTGTTCCTTGTTCAGAGGGAAAGTTCAGCAATTCAACTAGTAAGTGTGAAGATGTTTTAGGTAAGCGTTACAATATTCGGTATTGTATCCCATTACTTTGTTTTACTTTTTCAGACTCTATGGAGTGTACTAGTTGTCCAGAGGATTTCTGGTCCAGTCCCCAGCGTGACCACTGTGTTCCAAAGA